AGAGCATCTATGCACCAAGTTTCATCAAAAACCGATGTATGGTTCTTGAGATAGCAGTGGAAAAGTCGGACACACATACACACATATACACACATACAGACACACTATTAACTGCAAAGACTCCCATTTTGTGCTTCGCACATGGGAGTCAAAAATTAACATCTATGTTAACTGTTGTTGCATGGTTATCAACTGAATAGAAGGAAAGAAACTGCAAACTACACTTTCTAGAGATGAAGCGTTTGCTGCTTATAACATTTTGCATGTGCCCATCATTTAAAAAATAATGCTTTTCAATTATTATCTGAATTCCAAATGACACTTAAATTGACATTGCTACCACCTATCTACGTCATTTTTAAGTCTCAGAAATGCATCATTGCTAGACATGTAAGAAAGGTGTGTTGATCAATTTTGATGCATGAGCAGCTGAAAAAAATGAATCAATCTTGACTACTGTACAATTTGTTGTTGCATTAAATACCCTGCAGTCATACATTCATTGTATTCCTTCATTTGCTGTAGCTTTTTCCTCTTTGCAGGCACTATAGAAACAGTATTAGAGGCATTATAAGGTTATACATTCATTGTATTCCTTCATTTGCTGTAGCTTTTTCCTCTTTGCAGGCACTATAGAAACAGTATTAGAGGCATTATAAGGTTATACATTCATTGTATTCCTTCATTTGCTGTAGCTTTTTCCTCTTTGCAGGCACTATAGAAACAGTATTAGAGGCATTATAAGGTTTAATACTCTCTTTTGCAGTTATTTGTTCAAGTAATTAAACCATTTTCTGCTTAGCCTCAACCCATATTTTATATTTAGTTTAATATTAGAATAAAAGATGATCTTCAATGGTAATATTTACAACAAATATACATGTTGAAAACTGTTTTGGGATGGAAAGTGGGTCTATCAATATTTCGTGTGAAGACGATGGGGTCAAAGTGAAACGTAGGAGTCATCCTTGTCAGAGCACATCTTTCTCCTATTTAGTTAATGGCAAATGAATGAATGCAGTAGTAGTCAAAAGAAACCCCCTATCTTCTTAATAACCTCATTTTAATATTACCGCTACTACTGCAAAATCTGTATTAGAAGCCACATCCCTAATAGAAGCCGCACCCATTCTTTTTGAACAATTGAGACCCAAAAATTCACCATTTCTCATATGTGTAGATGCTCTAATAGAAGCCACATCCCCTCTGTTGTATTGTACCATTTTAATAGAAGCCGCGGCTTTTAATACAGATTTTACAGTACATACAAATGTATGAATGCTATCAGCGATGATGTTTGTTTTGATTTTGACACAAGGCTTTTAGACACAACCATTTTTAACTGGAATTTATGGGTTTTGATACATGAAGTCAAATGTGTGAAGTATGAAAATGGTGAATTACTGAATCGTTGTACGAGCATTCTACGTTAGAACACAGTACAATTGTTTTTTTCATTTAGTATATGGCAATGTATAACAATGACCAATCTTTTTACAAAGTATGAGGAAATTAATGGTACATTAATGGAACTGTATTGATCAACTTTCCCATATCTATAATATAACCGTTTTATGCAGGTCACATTCAGCATACAGCAACCAATACAGATCAATGAAACATCTACCAATCACAGCTGTTGCCATGCAATGATTTCACATTCTAATCATGCACCCAGTGAAGTGCCAGGGGCTAGAATGAAATCTTCATTTATGATCTGGCAAACTAGGAAATGTATGATCGGTTCCTGATGGAAAGTTGATTACGATAGAAATTTTAATTAGCCACAGAAGATTTTCTCAAAAAAGCTCAAATCTGTGATTTTTCACTGGCAGCTGTTGTATTCATACAATAGCAGAGAACTCAAAGTTGGAATTTCTGTCTGGTGATAATTCACTTCTCATGAATGGACTGGTGTCATAAACACACTTTGTATCAGAAATACATAATTTTGCAATGTAAATAAATGATTAGTCAATTTATTGGGAAAAAAGCAAAATCATATTAAATACAGAAATGTTGCGGGCAATAAAATATTTTGGAAATAATTTTTAGTTCAAATGTTTTTTGTTCTAAAAATGACTTATTTCCAAACATTATGACTTTTGTAAAACCAAGCCTGACTGTGTTACCATTTTTAAATACCATAATGCCATTTTGCTGGGAACTTTAAGAAATATTTCTGAATAGATGATCAAGCACACATGATAAGTGGTTTTATTATGCGGCAGGCTCATTCAAAGTTTATGAATGACACTATCAATGACTTATGTTCACCCAAATTTGTCCTAAGCTATTGCACATTTCCACAGAATCTCAACATTACAACTCAAGCATTTAAATGTAATATTTGATGTTATATCAAATGGGTGTTTTAATTGTTTAATAACAACCAAGTACAAACAAAGAGCGACAAAATTGTAGATAATTATGACATATTTGAAAATATCAAGTGACACAGAAACCCACAAAAGCGGGTGACACAAGAGGAAATACTCACCTAATACAGATCTTCGACACTCTGGTCCCAGCTTTATCATATAAAATCCCATTAGGCAAGGTGCTCAAAGAAACACAAAATGCTGCCACTGTAAAAACCAGATTAAAATGACTATCTTGTTCGGGACACGCAGTTTCCTCTGCTGTCACATTTTTTGCAGCTAGCGTTGCATTGTTGTTGCATAAATGACCATAGTATTGGTCCTTGTAAAGCACATATACTAACGACGGCCATCCATAAACGCAGCCAGCAAAACACAGATTTTCAAATAGGCCCCAGAAAAGCGTCCAGAATTTGGCACAACAAATGCCACACCGATCACCACAGCAGCACACCATAGTCAATGTTATATCGCAGATGCACAAAGATCAAACTGCTGAGTAACAACACCAATTACGCACCACCATTGAAGTCATCAAATGATGCAGATACCAAGTTTAACGTTTGTAGTGTCATAGACGCAGCAATCATAACGTCATTTCTTACTAAGCACAAGCAGCCACAGAATATCTTCCTCCTTCAACTAAAGAGACATCTTATCAATCCATTGCTATCTGATATAGAATTACAGTACAGTGTTCCCAGTGGGCAGAGCAAATATTACATGGTACAAATCAGCGGGTATTCCACATCATTTCTATTCAAAAGTTGTATTTCTTCAGCTTTGTTGTGTAGCATATTATTACTAGACGTCTGTCATCCAAAGACGCATTTCAGCATGGGTAGAGGTTAAAACCTGCAGGGAAAGATACAGTTATTAGTAATCGAAAATCAATATTTGTGAATGTCATATAAATTGATGTGACTTATGACGTAATCAACATCTAAAGATGGCAGTTTACATGCATGTACTTAAAATATTGAAAATTAAAAAAAAATTATGAAATAATAAAAGTAACAGTACATGTATGTGCAGATATCAATTAGGAATTAATAATCATTTTTGTCATCTCTTAATTAACATTTTTGTTAATTATTTTGTGGCAACAAAAAATAAAATCATACATCAAACCTGTTAAAAGTCACTGATATCACTAGTAGAACAGTACATTTATGAAGTGTACACAAAATATGGCAAATCTCTTAGCTGTTGCTTGCACTTTTTAATTATTCAACAACTGCATTCGGTCATGCAGCTTAGATGTAGGTGTCTGAACTATCAATCAGTACACGGGTAATGGATCAGTGAATTCAGATCAAATTGAAGATGTGCTGCTATACAGCAAATACACCCTGTGTTAATACAACGTACTTGATGTGAACTATGAGACAGGAAATGAAAAAAGATCAGTGACCTCACCTAAATTCGCACATTTAAGGAGCAAAAAAGAATCGACAATCATTATCAAAAAGTAATATTATGCTTTACAATTTCCCTTTCTTAATTATACTAATGCTTTAGGTGAAATAAATTCATTGTGTCACAATACAGAATAATTAATATTTATACAGTAAAAATACCAAGTGATACAAAGTGTAATTATTGTTGTCATATTTTTAATCACAGGAATTCATTTCTAGGAAATACTAATTGCATTAAAAATAATTCATGAATTAAAAAGATGCTTGAATGTCAAATTAAGTTAGTTATATTTTTATCAGCGCATCATATAAGCCCAGCCAATGTCAGCTGTCATGTGTAGTGATAGACGATAAAAATCACTTAGAATAAAAGCTATGTATGCTAACTAACAGAGTGAACACTCAGTGTACAGTACAACAATCAAAATATAACTACTGTTCATATTTGCATAGATAACTGTATTTTTAGGGGGGAAAAAATGATATGGCTGACATAATAAATCAATTAAGTCATGAATAAATAAATAAAATCATACTCAAGAGAAAAGATCACCTTTCTACTCAGAAGGTAATAATGGTTATTTATGTAGATTCACAAATTGACCCTCAACATCCATCCCCGTGGGCCTCACTTAACAAAAATATGTTACAAAGTATCTAAATAATATGCAGAATAATTCTAAACTACATATTAAGCACTGTGCATGTAGCATGGATACAACATGTTTAAAATAGTTAATAAACATAAAACAAATTAGCTAATTAACATCCAAAGATTGAAACTAAATTGTTAGATAATACACACAAGTATGCAAAGTTTCATTTTATTTGAATAAAATATTGTTAGGATAGAAAAAACATGACAGGAATATTTAATTAAAATATCGTCTACTGGGGAAATATGCAAATTAGCTAATTAATGCCAAACTATAATTTATACATTCAAATATTTCAGTTTTAATTTGTTTTGGAAAAATAGTTATAATATAAACAAAATATGCTACAAATATATAAATAATATGCAAATTAACTAATTAATATGTACATATTTCAAAACTGTTATCACACATTCAACTACAAAAACAGTATTTGCACGTACCAAGTTTCAATCTATTTGAGATAAAAGTTAAATATTTATGCAAATTCAAACCTGAATATGGGACTAATAATGCACCCATGTCACATGACGTACTTAGACTTAAATGATGGAGATTCTCAAACACAAAATAGCCACCAGTCAGACGTTTTTGATTAATTGGAAAACAATTTAAAATACCACAGTCAGCTTGCTTGCCTAAAGGCGAATGTTGCGTACTAGCAATCAAGAACAGGTACATAACAGTATCATAGCAACAACCAAAATTTAAAATCTACTTGATTCAACCAGAATACAGATTAGTTCTTCCTTTAGAATTAATACTCTTACTTCTCTGTGAATCTAGTTAATCTCTAGCGCCACCTCTATCCAATCAGTGCAAAGAGTCAATTCATACAATGGCTTTTACATCGATGTGTCCCATTAGAACTATGAATGAATACACTTTTTTTCCTATTTCACAAAACATGTGATATATAGACTTTTGAGTAAAATAAACAGGTGGCTATTTGTTATTTATAAGCACATAACTGTTAACTCCAGCAGTTTTAAACAATTTCCTTGTTTTTCATGACTGCCTTTGTGAACAGCTCTCAATCAATGGTAAATGTATTTCTTTTATAAATCGATAAGCCGCTCATGGAAATCCACTTTATCTCTTTTTTATAAAATCAGTTAGATAGTAGGCAGCTCTTAGAAATGCATTGTATATGTATTTCTATTTTCAATTTCTATTTATTGGGGTCAGTTCTATGGAGTGACTGTATACTCTTATTTCACATTCTGTAACTTATGCAATTTATTTACGGTGCTATGAGCAAGAGATATGCTAAAATAGATATTAAAAGGAAATAAAAGTTATAATACTATAAACTAACAACAATAAATCATTTCACAAGAAGAATGTATCAAGTTTAAACAACTATCAACTCAGTGCATCGTGTCTGGGAATAGATCCATATATACACATACATGTTTTAGGGCCACAGCGAGTGGGATGTGATAATGAACAACCTGCAGTGCTTTATTGGATTCTGTACTGGATAGTGTGCAAAGACAAAAACAATTGACTCCTAATACAATATGGGGGCTATGGGTCGTAAAAAAAATCTACAAATGACATCATTTTGACAAGTTCCAATAAAAAGCTCATATACACAGTCTCCAAATAGGTTCAAGCCCCAACATCTCCTAAACTTCATCTCATATTATCCACATTCATTCAATGAATAGTAATAACATCCTAACACTCTAAGCTTCTGCAAATTACACACAGCTAAGGTGACATGTGAATAGAAATGATCAAGTTATTCAATATGTAATTGCGGGGGGAATAATGCAGCTCAGCCCATTAATGTTGTGTGGGTTTTTTTTTAAACAAATTACCGAGAGAAATTTTATAGGCTTGTGAATATTAAGTCAACATCATTTCACTCAGGTACGCTGCAAATCTCATTCAGGAATCTTAAAAAGCAACTTAAGATGTACATTTCATGGTGTGAATAAAATTATAAATCTATATATCATTAAATCCTTGAGACTATGCGATGGAATGAACAGCAATCAAGTTACACATGCAGTCATTTATGCAATACATGCACAATACAATTACGTAATGCTATCAAAAATAATAATTTTCACTCACTGTGAGTGAGATAACAATTGTTATCCACTTGTGGAGGGGGGGTTAGGTAACAATTTCTATCAACTTAGGGAGAGGGTAACCATTTCTATCCACTTTAGGGGGTGTGGTAACAATTTTTACCCACTTAGAGGGTGGTTGAGGCTTTAACAATTTCTATCCACTTAGGGGATATGCGAGTGTTTAATAAATAACAAATGTTGGTACATTCACATTGTATATGCAGTGCAATTTAACAATGTGGTTCAGGATGTTGTATCAAATTACCCAATGTGGCCTAATGTGTACTTTCACAAAGTTGTGATTTGCAAATTTACCGCAGCTTGCAGTAATTAAGTCGCGACCAAATATACTAACATGATGAATATGCAAGCACACATATCCATATTTAACATTACCAAATGTACTGGTACTAGTCAGAAAATGCAGCTAAGAACTGTATAAGAACTTCAGAGATTAAAAAGGAACAATTTTGATTTAACGCTATGAAACCACTTGTACATCACTAGTGTCAGAAAGATGAACAAATTTACATGAACAAAATTATTTATAAGTTGAAACCACCTCTTTATAATTTATGCAGAGCATAGTACAATTTAGTGTGCCCAGAGTAAGTCTTTACTCTCATGGAAATCAATCAAGTGGTGAAGAGGTAACACATCATGTCCACTATATATAAACTAAATCATCAATGATACTGGCTGCTAAACAAAAGAGGTACTGTAGAATACTTTAATTTTGCTTGGAATTAATTTTCGCTGAAGGAATGATTCAGTGAAAATAATATCCAGAGAATATACCGTTGTTCCTATATTTTTCATTCAACACGTGAAAAATCATTGACGATAAATTCCATACAAAACACCCCCAAACAAGTCTATTCAGCGAAAATTAATTCCAGCTAAAATAAAGTACTTTACAGTATGCATATACATGTATATATATATATATATATATATATATATATATATATATATATATATAGGTATTGATGACTGAGCTGACAAGGCAAGGCGTATATAGCATCACTATGTTTCTTTATTAATACATTTAAATAAAATGTATTATATCATGCATTGTATACATGCTCAACTATTACGTGTTGAATCAAAATGAAACCAAAATGATAATGCACACAGACATCAAGACACACAGTTCTATAATAGTTATACGTGTATGAAAAGAAATTGGATACAAATAAGATGCTTCAATCTTGGCAAGTCATAGTCGCACTTTATAAAAGGGATTATTCCAATTTGAATAGCGAATTTGTGCCTGAATCAACAGTAAGCTATTGC